GCCCAACACTGAAAGTAATATATCGTGTATAATATGCAAATGTATATAAAATTTATGCAAATATGACGTTAGAGAAACCTAGACTTCAAGCTTTAAAAACTTATAAAATCGGGTCAGTAAATCACTAATGGAGAGTGTAGTTATTCTTGCAACTCACCTTTTTATAGGGATGTTAAATAGTTCGTCCGGTCTGGTTTTAGTGTCAGAACTTGAAAGTTTAAGTTTAAACTAGCTAGTTCAGGTAGTTCATGATGTCGTTCAGACTAGTGATATACAGTATAAACAGTTATATATTTTATATATATGTGTATAAAGCATCATTTATAATATCATGTTCATTTATAATTATAATAAACATATTATTATATAAATTTATACAATTAAATGAATCAAATGCATGTCGATATGATCACTAATGCTAACTAATAATTCCAGAATCATACCAAGACTTAAGACATAGACTTGCACATGCTTTTTTAGGATCTAACTGATTATGTGTAGTGCAAATAGTATGCTTTGCAATGGAAAAAATTTGCTTGCTTAATACACTTGTTGACTGAACAACAAGAAAATCATGTGTTATTTGAGAAAGAGATTTCCATCATGGATTATTTGCTTTAGATTCCCAGTAAATAAGAGGGTTGATATCTTTATTTGGTGAATTTAAATATTCATCCAATACATCTTCACTTGTTAATATATCTTGACGTACCTATTTAATATGTTGTTGAAAATAATTTCAAGCAGATCTAATTTGATCTAGCTCAATGACTTGTCTGGAATCACTTTCTGGTAACTTGTAAGCTTAATAGGTATTATATAATGTTTTTTTTTTTTTTTTTTTGAATTTCCCACTGCATGGTCACTAGTGGGTCGCAGCTGGCAGCTGTTTTATTAGTTCTTATTTCAAATTCATGGAACCTTCTATCAGGACCCTGTCTATATTTTACATTATTTGTGTATATTTACTGTACTATCTATATACTAATTTCTGTGTTACTATTACCCTGGAATTTCACTGGGATTATTTCTAATCGGGGATTCCTTTGTTCTATTATTATCTTCAGCCCCCTAATCATCACGGCCTTCTTATGTTAGGTCCATTGCCATTTAAGGATCTGGGTACTGAAGATCTTCCTATTTTCATAGTTCGCAGTTAGCTGTGATTAATTAACAATTATGGTCCTAACTCAGTTTTCATCACCCGTTGGACTTGAACCAGCAATCTTGCGATTGGTGACCTGGAAACGTAACCACTTCGCTATTGACCCACAGGTCTGGTATTATATAATGTTAAATATGCATTATGTTTATCTATATTATTTATAAATTTTATAAATTTTGATGACAGATCAAGTAGAACTGATTCATGAAAATAATTTTTTAGTTTATTTCAATAAAAATTAAGTTTTTCACTAATTTTGATTGTGATATTTTTTTTAATTATATCAGATTCATTTTGTGGTTTAATTAGAATTTCAATTATGACACAAAATGCTATTAGCAAATCACCAAGAGTTGGATAACTTGAAGAAGAAAGCAATTTAGTTGCTTCATATATTGGTTTTAAGAGTAACATAATCATTTATAATATTTTAAATTTTATTAGTGTTAGTAATTTTATATTATATAAATATTAATATATTTATATTTAAAAATTTTTAAATTACTATAATTTGTTTCCATTCCTTATCTGTTGGATATAATTGTTGAAGTTCAGGTAATGTTTTTACTAAAATGTTCATTATCTCCTTGATTCTAATTAACTTATTAAGTATTAAATATATAGAGTTCTATCAAGTATCGACATCAATATCAGGAACTAAAAATGGCTTGTTATTTTTTAAAAAAAATCTTTTCAATTCCTTAAAACAAGATTGTGAATGACAAATATGTTTAGCAAATTCTTGTGCTTTTTTTATAGAACTGTCAATTATTTTAGTACCATTATTAACTGCTAAATTTAATATATATGCTGCACATCTTATTCTATAAAAAATAGTATTATTATATTTTAATTCTAATAAATATCCAAGATAATAACCACATGTATTCATATTATATGCATTATCTGCAATCATAGATATAACTAGTTTATTTAATCCAAAGTATTCTAATTGTTCTATAATTTTTTCTGCAATATAAACACCTATATGTCATTCATTTAAAGGAATTATATCAAGAAGAATATGTTGTAGTTTCCAATTAGTATCAATCCAATGTAGTGTTATAGAAAGATATGCTTGATTAGTACAAGCTGTCCAAGCATCATCATAATTGTCACCTTATTTTTAAAGATTAAAAAAAATGTTTACAAATATATTTATTCTTTTTCATATATATCATCTAAATAATTTGTAATTGCTTGTCATATAGGCAATTTATAACATGAATCCAATTCATAAATTAATGCTTTAAAATCATCATCTTCAACAGTATTAAATGGTTGTTGATTACAAATAATCCAATGAATTAAGAGCTTATTAAGCTTATTGATTTTTTCTTGACTATATAGTTCTTTTCTTAATTATTGAAACTCTTTATATTTAACAAGATGATGTCTTTCAAAATAACATTTTATTGTACTTATTTTCTGTTGTTTTTTTTATAATAAGTATTAAATTGACATAAAGTATATTTTAATTTTCCACTAGAATACTTTAAATATTGCCAAATAGGATGAGCATTCTTAGATCATTTGATTACAAGTTTTTCAGATTCAGATTCACTATTATGTTCAAGTTCACTATTATGTTCAGGTTTACTATAATGTTCAGATTCACTGTCATGTTTAGGTTTACTATAATGTTCAGATTCACTATAATGTTCAGGTTCACTGTAATGTTCAGGTTCGCTGTAATGTTCAGGTCCATTGTAATGTTCAGGTTTATTGTAATATTCAAGTTCACTGTAATATTCAGGTTTATTGTAATATTTAGGTTCACTGTAATGGTTAGGTTTACTGTAAAGTTCAGATTCAATTATATTATTCTGTTTGTTATTATTAAATGTTTCTTTATTATATGAAACTTTACTTATTTTAATATTTTCAATATTAGAAAATGATATTTTGAATATGTCATTTACTTGTAAAGTTTCACTTATTTCAACATTATTGGTATTAGAGGTTATTTTAGATGTATCAATTATTTGAAGAGCTTCATTCATTTTGTTTTTTTTTTGTTAAAAAAAAAATACTTAATTTTTTTAAAAATTAAATAAATAAATATTTTGTTTGCATCAAATAATTTATCATTTTTTGTTGCATAATAATAATAATAGTATGTAAGATTTTAAAACTTTTAAATTACTATACATTACTAAAAATATCAGTAACATGTAATTTATTTTTAAACTAGTTAAATTACTAGTTTTGGACTAGTGTTTAGTAGTTTTTTCAGAGATTAGGACCAGACTACTTTTAGACTGGGTTAATAAGACGACTTAACATTCCTACCTTTTTATAATGAACGCATCTATGCTCTATAACAGTATAATAAACTTTTTTAAAAAATATTTATTAGAGCCCGGC